AAAAAAAAAAAACAAAAACAGAAATCTCTTGCATTGAGAGTTTATCCTCCCAAATTATATGGAACACCTTTGGGTGTTTTCCATTGTATAAATGTTAAAAAGAAAAAGCTGCTGTTTGACACACTAAAGTAAACAAACAACCCAAATTTTGAAAAACACTATATTTTTTGATACAGGGTCTCACTACGCAGTTCCGACTCAGTGATCTTCCTGTCTCAGCCTCCCTAGCACTGGGATTACAGGCATGTGCCACCATGCCTAGTTTCGGTGGTCTGCACAGCATGCCCAGGATTCCAGGCCAGCATGACATGTGTTACCAGGGATCGAATTCAGGACTTTGTGCTTGCCAAGCAGGCACTTAGACCACTGTGCTATCTCTCCAGCCCAAAAAACACCATTTTGAATACAAGCTTCAGTATCACAAAGACCCACATTTAAAACAGGATTCCAATAAAAGCTTAATAACATTGAGCATTAAACTTAATGTACTTCAATTTTCTCATCTCTAAAAGAGAGATCATCTCTATTATCAAGATGGTAATATCTGCCCTATGGAATTATTGTGAACATTAAATTGTATCAAAGCTGCAAGGGGAGCCGGGGAGATGGCTCAGTGGAATAAGTGCTTCCTTGGCAAGCGCAAGGGTCTGAGTTCAATCCCTGGTTCCACAAAAAAAAAAAAAAAAGCTGCAAGGCACTAGGCACTGACAAATGTTAGTTACTATTGGAAGAAGTACTATAAATACTGTAGTTTTGCTATTAATACCCAACAGTAGGAATAAACATACATTGAACAATCACAATTCTATACCAAGCATAAAATATTTCTGTATTTACATATAGCCACTTCTCATTGCTAACTTTTTATTCTTGTTTTGAAAATCTGTACCATATGTACTGTTATTTGTTACTCTGCTTCTTTGTTTCTGCTATTTGTTTTTACTCTTTAAAATGAAATTAAAATAAATAAATAAATACAATCACCTCTCAAAAATTCACACAAAATCAACTCAAATGAGCAATGAAAAATAACACCTCTCTGGGTTTCTTCCTGCCAGATTTCTGGGAACCCCTGGGGATGTCACCACTATGTTCTCCCACTGTCTTTCCAGTTCCTGTTCACTGGATTCTCTAGGTTCCATATAAGGAACTCCAGATCCCTAAGTGGGGCTGACAAACATGTTCTGTAAAAAGACTAACTAGTAAAAGGTTTAGGCTTTGCAGGTCATATGGTCTCAGCATAACTATACAACTCTGCCTTTGCAGTATGAAAACAGAGAGACAGTACATAAATGAATAAGTTTAGCTGCGTTTCAATACAAGTCTATTTACAAAAGCAGGCAGTAGGCCAGGTCATGTCTGTACAACACAAACAAAGCTTTCTCTTGCTGAGATACTAAGTCCCACCCCCCATGGCATGGCTATCCTACAAAGAAAGTCTTTATCCCTTTCCCCCTAAATTCTAGAATTCCCTCTTATAAAGGGACTAAATGGTCAGAGGTAACATGCCTTTTTGTCCTATCTGCCTAACTCATTGAATGGGCTGGGATGAGTCCTTTAATATTTCTACAGTAAGTTTCACTACATCAAGATTCATCCAACTCATTTGTGCAGTTCATTTTAAAAGGGAAAAGTCAAAACAAATGTGAGTCTGCCTAGACTATGTCTGTCAAGCTTCATGTTGCTGTAAGTGGGCTCAATTTAAAGCCTTATTAAGCTTACACTCACTTCTGTCACTGAATGAAAAATGGTCTGCGATAAACAGCTTTCATTTCTTCACACCCTGAAGTCAATTTCCCAACAGACGCACTGAAGTGGCATTCCAAATCTCTGCACTGGGGAGGCAGTGACACAGCATGGTATAGATGGA